TATTTTAGTTGTTGAAATTAGAGAGTTTTTGATATATTGGTTTGAAATTAACTTTTTACTTAATTTAATGGTTAACAATAATTATTATTATTTATTTAAATATTTTTATTTATTAAACCAAATAAAAGTTTAAATTTTAAATTATTATATTAAATAACTCCTTAGCTAAATAAAAATTTACAGTTTAAAGCAAAAAAACTGAAAATGAAAACGAAAAATGTTTGGGTGGTATACAACATTACAACTACTGCCAACTAAAATTAAAATTTATTTTAATTTATTAAATTTTTTTCTATCGTCACGTGTGTAAAATTATAGCAGCAAAACAGTCTAATCAGGTGCCGAAAAACAAACTCTGACTTACGCGGAATAAAAAAGGAAAAACGTCATGCGTCATTCGTATGTGTGCACATGCGCCTTCCTTAGGTTCGTCGGTTCTCCCGGCCATCGAAAAGCGTGGCTTGGGGACCACAAAAGTCCAAAACAACAGACATTTGACTTTGATCGCATCCGTCCATGAAAATCACATTAATAATATCCACCGCTAATTTTCTCGTTTTCCGATCAGCAGCCAATTGAGATCACGTTTCGATAGAGACCCGCCATTGGGCTATAAATCCTAACCAGAGCGCACAAAAGCCTCCAAATTTTGCGGAGCCAGAAGAAAAAAGAACCCAAGATCATCTCCGATTTGAAGATGGGATCAGAAACAAGGAAACCGAGATTCCTCTGCCTCCATGGATTCCGGACAAGCGGAGAAATCCTCAAGAAACAGCTACATAGATGGCCGGAATCGGTTCTGGAAAAACTCGATCTCGTTTTCCTCGACGCCCCGTATCCTTCCCAAGGCAAATCCGACGTCGAAGGGATCTTCGATCCTCCTTATTACGAATGGTTCCAGTTCAATAAGGTAAGAAAGTTTTTCCCTCGGAACAATTTTCCGGCAATCTGTGTTTTGTCTCCTGTCTCTGTTTCCGACGTGGGAAATTTTTCATGTCTCTTGCAGGAATTCTCCGAGTACACTAACTTCAATGAGTGTCTCAAATACATCGAGGATTACATGATTAAACATGGACCATTCGATGGTCTCCTCGGTTTCTCACAAGTATGTATATGTAATCACTCCTATCGACTTTTTATTGTCTGTTTGGCTGCCAGGAAAATTGATATTCGTTACTTTCCGATGTTGTTTCAGGGAGCCATATTGTCGGCGGGGTTACCGGGACTGCAGGAAGAGGTAAATTGATATTTTGCTGAATTCAGGTAATTTTTCAATGTCAAACCAAGGGAATTGATTAACGCGTGGAATTGGTGGTTTGGTCGCAGGGTGTGGCTCTGACGAAGGTTCCGAAAATAAAGTATCTGATAATAATCGGAGGGGCCAAGTTCAAGGCACCGGCGGTGGCGGAGAAAGCATATTCTTCCCCGATTAAGTGCCCATCTCTCCACTTCCTAGGTAATCTCCTCTGTTTCTAGGCAAAGCTTTCATATGCGTAATTGTATTGCGTGCCTGTTTCTCTGGGTTCTCAAATTTTCTAGTAGAGGTTTGTATAAATCAAAATTGTAACTAGAATGATTATTAGTAACTTTTAGATGACAAATTTCATGAAATTAGAAACTAAAAACGATTGATTTACTCTTTGGCCTCGAATTTTGTACTCGTTTCATGTAGAATTCAGGTTTTCTTCAGTAAATTATGCCCGAGTTTTTTTTTTTTTTTTTTCAATTCAAATTATAGAGCAGATATTGAGAGGTTAGTGATTAGTTGTTAGATTGATAGAAATAATAAGTGTAATTGCACGAAATAACTCTGGCAATGTCCGAAATAACACAGTAACTCCAACATCGAACTCGGACGGGATTACCTGTAAGACCCGAGGTTCCTTGCTTGTTACTGTTTTACGCTTAAGTTAATACCTAGGAGTTTTAATAGGAGCAGGCTATTCAACTAAGAAAGCTAAGGATGTAATGAATGTGGTTGTTGGATGTGTATTTATAGTCAGGTTGCTTTATGACAAATTTTCCTTTGTCAACCTTAAACCACTGTAATGTATTGTAATTTTATGAACATTCATGAATGCGCATTAATTTTGGTGTTCAGACATTTAAGACAATATTAGTTGTGATGTCATTCGTCAAGGATGAAGATGACAGGAGGAGGTGATGCTCAGCCGGTCGACTTGTGCTCGGATCAGTCCCTCATAATAAGAAAATTGAATTTTAAACTATATGTTGCATTTGAACCACCAATTCAAACACTCCTTATGTCTAAGTTTGTGTCTTGTAAGTCAGAGAGATGAATTTACATATTTTTTATTTGCAAAATCTGCCCTATTGCAGGAGATATGGATTTCTTGAAGCCATATGGACTAGAGCTCTTGGAAACATGTGTAGACCCTGTTGTGATTCATCATCCAAAGGGCCACACCATACCCAGACTTGGTAATTAAGTTTAATTTCTGTCTGCCCCTTTCATAGCACTGAATTATATTAGATGAATTTGCTTAATTTCTTTCACGATCTGTGTTTTATTTCAGATGAAAAGGGATTAGAAATCATGTTGGAGTTCATCCAGAGGATCCAAAATGTGTTGCCTGAGAAGGAAGAGAAACCACAGCTAAATGAAGAACTTTTGGTCCTCTAGCTGGGAAACAATGCATGAAACTTTTTAAATTAGAATATTCATACTCAAATTATGAGGAAAGCAAGTAGGAAAGATTCAGACAAGGCAATATCCTAACTCAGGACATGGATTAATAATCATCTTAGTGTCATTTTATTATTACAAAAAAACTGTTTTGTCTGGACTCCAAAACAGGGACCTCCTATTATTGTTAGGTATTTTACTGGCCTCTTAGGAGATTTGTGCGGTGTATCAAAATCTACATTATAGTGTAGGCAAATGACTCAAATAAGGGTACCTTCTTTCATTATTTATGTAATTCTGCACGCTATTTTCTATTAGATACAATAAAGGACACTATTTACGAGGAGACTCACCAAAATTGTGCACTTTTAGTATATGTAATTCCGAATAAACTCTTTTGTAATTTCAATCATTGCGTTAACCGTTAAGATTCTGTTTTTACCTTACCCGTGTAATGGGTGATTAACTGATTATGCATTTATAACAAATGCACAACGTTAAAATGTTTCCTTATTTGCGCCTACAGATAGATAATTTCCTTTATTGTAGTTGATACAGTATATGGTAAATTATAAAGAATAATCCAACTCTATGAATAATGACTTACTCCCTAATTGTCAGGAAAATAAACTTATTTTGATTTTATTTTTAAATTAAAGATTTTGAAATAATTTGCATTTTTATTTACACGTATTGCATTATTTTTAAAAGAAAAAATAGAAGACAAATAATTGAAGTAAAAAAATAATGATAAGTTTGAATTAAAAAAATACTATATTTATTTTCATTAAAATATATAAAATATAATTAATTTAAGACAAATTTTTAATAAAATATTATTTTTTTAAGACAACAAGAGTATATCACAAGATAAAAAGAATGCAATCGGTGAGCAAAGGGCAATGATACAAAGGAGGAATAAAGTGGATGAATTCATGGACCAATGACGTGACAAACCACATTGTTAATATATTAATTTTAAAAAATTTAAATCAAGTTATTTTTATTAGTTTATCTTTTATCTTCTTTTTCCTTTCAAAATCTCTTATCTTTCTCTCTCATCTCCCCTCTTTTGCTAAGCTCCTCCTCCAATGGACTTCATCGGACTCAAGGACCGAGCTTAACCCTATCCTAGGAATCGAAATCCTATAGCCACGGTTTTAAAATTAAAAAAGAAAAAAGAAAAAAGAAGAAGAACAAGAAAAACTAAACCTTAATTGTTTGGTAAAATTGAACCCAAAATGGTAGAAACTCTAAATCTATAGTTAGTCTTTGTAAGGGAGATAAGAGAAATAGAGACAAATGATGAAGATTTGGAAGAGAGAATTTGGATTTGGATGAACCCAAAACAAGAAAAAGATTGCAAAAACATAAAGAGTATGCAGAAAAGAGGTGAGACGTATGTAAACTTTATTTTATTAATATATTGTTGATGTGACAAACCACCTTAAATTCGTTACGTGAAATCATCCCTCTTATTTGATTTTCTTATCATTATTTGTAAGCAAATACATATCACTTTGCGTAGAAAACTTTCTAAACAATGTTATCATTTATTTTTTCAACAATAAGAGTTAAAAATTGGCTTCATTTTATCATGAAAATACACCACAGACTATACAATGCATTTGCACCAGAAGAGATACGGATTTTTCATTTGTAATCTAATATAATGAAACTATTAGATAGAAAACATGCCTTAAATTTAAAAAGTCGAACTCTACTTAATAGTTTAAGTTAATTGTATAACACAATTTTCATAATTAAGAAATTTGAGTCCCGTATGCACACTTGTATCATGAATAGCCAAGTTGCATCCTCTCACAACAGTTGCACATGGTTGTTAGGCACGGTTGGCGCTTAATTCGTAAATCGATGACAATCCTAATGCTCCATGGGTTTGTGTTTCTTTCATTCCACTGACATTTTTTCTGGGCAAGAAAAGGTACGTCCTCCTAATGGACAGAGTCTCGTTTATCTGGTACATGTCCATTTTACTTGACTCACTGTCTACCTAATGAGCTGGCGGATATCTTATGCACTGATGTTTCATGAATTAAGTATAATATTTCCAATTGCAGCTCAAGAAAAAAGAAACAGTAGCACATGGTCTGCTTAGGGCTGGCAAGGGGGTTATGCTAGGTTGGGGAGTGTCATCCTCTTCATGTCCCCGCTAATCGTTAAAATAGAGATACTAACAACGATTTTTGACTGAATTATTGAATCCTATTAACCCTTTTAATTGGATGACATATCTGATGTTACACATTTAAATAAAAAAAATGTAGTAATTCCAGGCTCCAGACTCTAGGCAAGCGAAGTCCAAACCCACTAAGTCCCATTTACTTAGCATAACTGTCCTCCATTTCCTCACCCAAT